GGTTATGAGCCAGCTTCAGATACCCCACTGCTAGTTGGCGCAGCGAACGTCACAGTGAATGCCACAACATCAGCCCAGCATCATGTGTCTCACTCGTTCACTTTTTGATTTGACATACCAGTAATTTGAGTTAAGAGCTCTGTCACCGAACGAATTAAACTCGTAAGTCAAGGCCCCACTGTAGTTAGACCTTTTTGAACCCTTTTCAAATCTGCCTATTAATTTTAATATTCTTAGGGACAAAAATCCCTGAGGCATATCATCATATCTGATAGTCCCTGTTTCTTGTAATGTCTCTCCATGTGATGACTTGTCATACAGATATTTCCCATGACTCCAAAAATGTGGATGTTAAATGTGAGGTAAGGCAGCCTGAACATGATAAAGACAGACTGACTTTCTTCCCAACTGAAATGGCTAATTAATTCAATGGGCTGTCCACAAAGGTGGGTTGGCCAGGAAACATAGTTTGTATGTCATATATATATTCCACACCTACACCCACCCCCCGTGGGACCAAAGGAAATTTATTTAGGGTATTGTGCTCAGAAGTGGACCCTGCACCTCCATGGAGGGATTTCCTGGGATATTCTTCTGCTTTCCCAGACTACAAAGGGCACAAGACTGAAGGTTTCCCTTGGTGCCTGGGGCTGCTGCTTGCTCTCTTCAGCCCAGGACACCAGCAGGGCACTGCTCCTTTCAGGCTTCTGAGCCAATCAAGTGTCAGGAGAAAGGTTTCTACAAAGGACACCCATTCCCCTCAGCTGCCACAGGGTAGGGGCACAGTGCCTGTGCTCAGGGCCAGTCCCTGGAAGCAGCATGGGGAGGCTCAGGGAAGGGCAGAGGTTCCAGGAGAACACATGAGGTCTGGATTTCAGGAAGTGAGCTGGAAAGTTTCTCCCACAGACTCAACTTAATAAAAGGGGCCACCTGGGGCCAATACTCAGTGTGAAAAGCAGCTTTCAAGCTGGGAGATCTCTCAGTCAAAAGCACAGCTAGCATTTCTGTTTGCTTTTTGGGGGGATGGGCTGAAATAGGCCTGTGCCCATTAAACATCCTGAAATGAACACCTAGACTACAGGCTCTCTAACCATCAGACTTTAAGGGTCTATGTGGAAAGGTGGGATGTTTTCCAATGGAGTCCTCCTAGGGGCAGAGCAGGCAGCTCACAGGATTTCTTGGGAAAGGATGACACTGGAGAAAAAGTACTGACAGACACACAGGGTTACAGACACCAGGAACGGGAAGCCATGTGACAGAGCCTCTGGAAAAATTATGGTTCTTTCTGTGCAGATATAAAATGGGCGTTATTGAAAGTCATAGGACAGCTTCCGGGTGGTCAAGAACACTTTGACTATCTCCTCCTTGGCCTCCTTGAACCTGGCCTGGTGCTCCTCAAGGAGCGGCTGCAGGACCTGCACGAGCTCCTTCTTGAGCTCCCAGGTGAGCATGGCTCCACTGCTGTAATCCTTCCTCATCTGTTCTAGCTTGTCCTCATCCTCGAGGAAGAAGGTCATGTACATGAAGGACAGGTCCACGTGGCCATTTCTCCCAAACTGTCTGTGCTCCTCCATGATGTCTCTCCCTCCATAAAACACATGCTTGTTGAACTTGGTCTTGATCTGCTTGTCAGTGTCTGTGAAGAAATGGGGCAGTTGTGGTCGCTGGCACTCCTTTGGGTCAGAGTACCCTGCAGGGAGGGGAAGAACGTTGAGTGGAGCAGGGTGGTTTAGGATAGCAGAACCTGAGGGTGAGATCTCTTGTCATCCTTGCCGCCGGGAATCCTTAAGTAAGGATTCTGGTTGATGGCACAGAGGACGAGGCCCTGGACGTCCATCTCGCCCCCAAAGTTCTGTGGGAATGAGTTACTGAAGAAGGGATCAGCCTGGATGGCAGGAAAGCTGATGTTCCCCTGGCAATCACTGTCTGCAAAGCCAAAAATGCCTTTCACTTGGTTGAAGGTCACGTGCTTCTGAACTTCACCATGTTCTTGTAGAAGTCTGGGCTCACCCCCATGTAGTTGAGGTCAGAGAAGATGGGCTTGTTGATGTCAAAGCTGCAGGTGATGATGTCCTTGGTGTTTTCCACGGAGTAGCCATAGGCCTGGTCCAGGGTCAGGTCTTCCACAGGTACTTCTAGTCCTCTGTCATCTGGATGAGCAAGAGCACATTAAACACGTCCTGCAGCCACTTTGTGAAAATGAACGGGATGTGGTGGCCTACATGCATGGCTTCAGAAGAGGGGCCCCTGCCCATATACAGGCGAAACAGCTTCTTGTTTTCATAGGTATCGAGGACTTGGTTCATGTCTCTGTGTCAGAAGAAGGTGCATCTGTGCAGGAAGCGGTGTGGTCTCTGGCCCCTGGCTCTCTCTCTTCTGTTTATCAGCTCTTGGTCAATGTTACTGCTTCCAAACAGAACAATGAGCTTGTCATAGTAACTGCCTTTTGCACTGTTCCTCTGTACAGTTCAGGGGTCCACAAAATCCACTTCAGCTTCTGTGGCACCTGGGCCACTAACCCAGGTGCAAGGTTCTCTGGAAGGCAGTTGGCCTTGCAGGTCTCCCCTGTGGCCACATTGTAGCTCATTTTTAGCAATAACAGCCTCTTCACTGAAGAATCAATTTCATCCTGGGCTGCGGGGGACACTGAAGAGGTGGCCAGTGGAGTAGCTGAGATCTCTGTGCAGCTGGGCTCTTCTTTTATAGTCTTCCCCCTCTTACTGTTTCCTTTTTTAAGCCCCTTTCTTCTCTTTTCTTCTTGTTCACCCCACCCTGCAGCTATTTGCAGTAAGGATTTCTTAGAAATCAACCAGTTTCTCACAAACACTTGAGCCTCTTGACCAATTCCTCATGAGACAGTCCAATCAGGAGTTGGCTGTGAGTGTGTGTGTTTGGGGGAGGGTGGGTGTGGAGACCAAT